ACTATGCCCAAACAAACCTAACAATGGTCACTATGCCCAAACAAACCTAACAATGGTCACTATGCCCAAACAAACCTAACAATGGTCACTATGCCCAAACAGTTCTACTTTAGTTTCATCAAACCACAGAACATGTCTCCAGGGATGAAGATCTTTGTCCCTGTGGGCATTTCTAACTGCAATATGGCTTTTTATGTTTGGAATAAAAGCTTCTTCCTCACTGAGTGGCCTTTGAGCTCATGTTGGTGCAGAATAGTTTCACTGTGGACAATGAGTCTGTCTTACCAGCTTCAGCTGCATAAGCTGCATACACAAGATCTTTGGTTTTTGTTCTGGGGTCAATTAGCAAATTTCAGCCCAAAGCACATTCACCTCTGGGACACAGAATCTGTCTCCTTCCTGAGCATTATGATGGTTGGAGATTCCCATCATGCCAATACTTTCGTTTTCTTGTTTGAACACTGCTGCACCTTCAAGCATTGATAGTTCCAAAGAATGAACCAGACTTGTGCAACTGCACAATTCTGTTCCTGATATTTGGCTGATTTATTTTGACTTTCATATCATGTTGAACAAGAACGTAGAGCGTTTCAGGTATGCCTTTAATATACATCCACAGGTTTGCCTCTAATTAAATCAAATGTGTCAATTAACATATCATAGGGTTTCAAAAGCCATGACATTATCATGGGCTTTTCCTCATTGTTTAAAAAGATAATAATCATTCTGTATGTAAACTTTTGATTTTTTTTTTTAATCAATAAAGAAATCACAGAGATTCTCTCATTAATGAGGCTATTAACACTTAGAAATTATTTTGGTCACTCTGACTAACCTAAAACAAGAGATCTTTTGTCTGATTTAACTTTAGATATTGAGAACGTAAATATGTTTTGATTATTATTTTTTTTTTTCCGGTTTTCTTGTTTCAACTTTATATGACATTTTTATGTTTTTTTTTTTCCAAATGTGACCCAGGGTACATTTGGAACTTGAATATTTGGTCCTAAATCTCCTACGTATCTGATGATCTTTCAAATGTGACCCGAGGATCGTTCAGGTTGCATTCATGCGACAAATGTCACTACTCTGTGTGTTGATACGCACAAGCAGGAGGAAAAACAGCCACCATGACGGACTACAATGAGGATTACGTTGTAAATATGCTGCTCCGTTCGGAGAACAAGTTCAGAATCATAAGATACGCTCCAACATTAGCATCCATGTTTACTTCTGCAAACACTGAGAACGTTCTCTTTTGTGACCTTATTACACCCTTTACTGCGCATGCAGGACACGTTCATGTTGTTTGCAGTTCACAATGAAGATAACATACAAGTCGCATATTTGGAAGGGTGAACGACCACACACACACACACACACATACACACAAAGGTCAGGTTTCACAAAAAATCAGAATTGAGCATTAACACCTCCAGTGTGAACGTAGAGCCAGATAAACTCATCACCTCAACATCATAGATATTAGCATTGATATGTGGTAAAAGAGACTTACCTGATAACAAATAATTTTGAAAATGAAATAAATTTCTCCCAGACTGAATGAAAAGGAGCCACACCATCAAAATTCCTCTCCAAAGAAAAGCGATTTCTATTAAAAAACACAAAGACAAGATTTTAGATATGCATGCCC